CTAAAAAGGGTTTTTATTTCCAAGTGTTGTTATCTAACTAGGATGGTCCAAAGAAAATCAATTCCATTATATGATATGGAAGCACAAGTATATGGAAACTTTTTGCTTTTCGCTCCCATTTTCCAAAAAGCATTTTTTTTTTGTTACTCAGTGTTGTGGCCCAACAGCGGCCGGCTGAGCTGTTGGTGGACTCTGACAGCGATGACCATTATGGGACTGCTCTAGAGGATGAAGAAGACTCTGGAGGGTGTGTGGAGTCAGAGCAGGGACTAGAGAGGCCTGTTGGTCACCAGGTGGCATCTGAGTCAGGGAGCAGTGAGGAGGAATGGGGAGGTTGTCCCTGATATGCCTGTGCATAGAGAAGAGAAGGGAGCAGCTGTGGAGAAGACGTCATAGAAGGAAATAGGGACAGGTGGCTACTGTTGTGGCTCCTCCCAAATAGCTTATAGGTGGAGTGACGGGAGGGGAATCTTTGCAGGAAACAACAGTCCACTTTACTAGCTGTTGAGAAAGCATTCCGTAAGTCTAATCACGGGACAGAACACTCAGTCTATTTTTTTAAATACTCCTGATATGGTATTTCTCATATCAGATATGAAACTACCGGATCCACAGTTCTCATTGTATATTTCAAACAGGTGAAATCTGTTATAAGTACACTTTCTGGTGAGGAGTTTGCTACTTTAAAGGAAGAGCTGGAAAAGCTGAAAGAAGCATTTTCATTAGCTGAATTTGATGATGATGAAGATGAAGAAGAAGAAAAAAAAGGTAATTTGGCAGACTACTGGCTGTGCAATAGTATTTAAAGACCTCTTGATGTGGGTGAGGTAGCTTTCTAACATTCTGTAGCATTCAGTCTTTAATGCTTATATTTTAGAGGCTCTAGCTTTTCATTATAATCAAGTGAAATAAATAATAGGTATTAAAAGCTTCCACATACAGGTAGGCCTCGGCTTATGACCACTATGGAGCCCCAAATTTCTGTTGCTAGCAAGACAGTTTTGCCTCACTTTATTACTTTTCTTGCCACACCTGTTAAGTGAATCACTGCAGTTGTTAGTAAGATGGTTGTTAAGTGAATCTGGCTTTCCACATTGACTTTGTCAGAAGGTTGCAAATGTGACCCCATAATCTGCAACCGTCATAAATACATGCCAATTGCCAGGCATTCAAATTGTTATCTTGTGACTGTAGGAATGCTGTAGTGAGTGTGTGAAAAATGGTCATAAGTCGCTTTTTTCAGTGTTGCTGTAGTTTCAAATGGTGACTAAATGAATAGTTGTAAGTTGAGGACTACCTGTATTTTAAAGCTCTGTTCTTCTGAGTACTAGTTAATTACCTGTACATTTAAATGAATGACCAAATAATAGCATGGGACTTCCTTAACTAACATAATGTAGAGAGAATCCCGGTAGTCACAGTGGCTGATTGGAACCTTAGGGAGGAGACTCATAATGTCTCCCGTGTCTATAAATCAGGCAACAAAAACACTCATGTTTGTTCCATTATGTTGCTAGTATTGTGTTGGTTGCACAGCTGTTGACATGTACCTATTACAGGGGGTGGGCTGTTGCGGGTTCTCGCGGGTTCTGAAGAACCTCTAGTTAAGAATCTGCCCAGTTTGGAGAACCTGCAAATCCCACCCCTGGCTGGCCTCGCCCACCCTGCCCCACCCATCCCCACACGGCCCATTTGGGATGCCAGGTAAGTACAGGGTCCGCACAGAGGCTCAAGGAGGGTGAAAAGTGGGCCTCCGGAACCCAAGGGAAGCTGTTTTCACCCTCCTGGAGGCTCGAGAAAATCCTTATTTCCTAAATTATTAAAAAGTGTGCCCATGTTCTAAAGAACAGAGATATGGCCCACCTAAGTAATGAAAAACACCAAACAAGCCTTTATGTAATTATATTGAAAATACACAATCTACATCCTGTTGTTTTTAGAAGACGAAGATTTCACAGTTGAAGTGGGCATACTCTTTTCACAGCTGCGCATCTCTCTAAAACCAGCTAAATTGCTCCAAGTGAGTAAATACTTGTTTTTAGCTTTTAAGATTATGTATAGAGTTGTTTTGGATGTAGTTTGGGCTTCTGAAATTTGTAGTAAGTTGTCCTAACTAGGCTAACTTTAATTTTTTAATTTTTATTAGTTTATATTAAATGGATTAATAATTAGTGATGTATAACAGCAAGTAAAGGAATTTTGTAACAGAGATTTTCTGCCTGGGAAAACCAAGGAAAATCATCAAAACCATACAAAAGTGAAAGTTAGAATATTTTGGAGATGTGATGCGACACCTGGAAAAATACGCCATACTTCACTTAATCCTCCAGGGAGGGATTGAAGGCAAATGAGGTCCAGGCAGAAGAAGAACATCATGGCTTCAGAATCTAAGGGACTGGCTTGGACAAAACTCAGCAGCACTTTTTTGTGCAGCTGTTGATAAGAATAGGATCGCCAACATGATCGATCTGATGGCAGATGTGGCACAAGAAGAAGAAGAGAGGTTATCAAATATTAGAAGTGCTTTTCAGTATGGACATCTTTTTCCAATACCTCTAGGCAAGCAAGCCAAATAAATAAATAAATGCTTCAAGTTGGCTCTGTTAGTGGTCATATTGTTGCAGCTCTTTAAAATATCCAGAATCTAAGCTAACTAAACTTAATTTTTGGGCATTGGCTTGTTATCTTTTATAAGTTTTATATGGTAAAGTTTAAAGAGTAGCTTAAGGAAATAATCAAAATATCTTTTCTTTCAGGTGATAGGTTGTCAGACTTTTGGCAGCGTGACTAATATTATGAGATAAACTAGTATTATGAGCATAGGACACAGAGCTTTTAGACAATTAACAGTAGTTTATCTATACAGAAATATACAGACATACAGTACATGTGGTTAAATAAAATCCCTTATCATTCAGCTCGGACACAAGAAGAGAAATGAAATACATGATGAGAGAGAGAGAGACCCTATAATAACCACATGTGTGTGTGTGTGTGTGTGTGTGTGTGTGTGTACACACACACACACACTTCCCATGCAATGATTTCTTCTCTTTGCATCAGCCATTGCTTCAGCTTACAAATTACAGCTTACAATCTTACATCAGATGGCAGCTATTAAATCCTCAGTACCTGACATAGGTTAACAGAAGTAGAATGAAAATACATTTTGTTTTGAGTTTCAAACAAAACAGCTGCACCTGAACTTTCATATGAATGTTCTGCTCTATTCTATCCTGCAATACAAGTCAGAATTGTTCAAGCGTTCTAAAAAAAAAAAAAACAGCCCTGAAATATTTTTATTTCATCCGTAGGAAACAGTGCTGAGGGCCAGCTCCTGCTCCTTTGTGTTTTACAAGAGGGCCAGAGAAATAAAGGGGATTGTAGTTCATGCATCTGCCACCCCAAGCACAAAAGAGAAGTAGTGTTGTGGTGCTTGAAATATTTCAAATGGCACAATTCAAAATGACCAGATTTTATTCAGTCTTAAAATTCTTGAAAAATAGACTTTTTCTAGTCAGAATATTTCAAAATTAAAAGACACACTTCCTTGTAGTAATATGTACAAACAGTAAGTGGCGCTGTTTTCCGGGAGAGAATAACAAAATTCCAATTTCTGGGTTGTATTATGTTAATATATAGTATAAAAAATACTGTTTTTAAAACATTAATTTGCTAAAAGCAATTCATATTTTATTGATTCGTAAAAGTTTTCATTAATTCAAACTCTTTGTGCTTAGAGCAGAGCTATACAGATTGGCTCTGATCTGTAATTGCCAATTTGGTTAGAATCATCATATTGAAGCAGTTGAATAGTATGATCTATTTGGTCTGTTCAGTTTGAAGATTAGAGCTTTTTCTGTAAACCTCCCACTTGGGATAAATTTCTGTGACTCAATTGCCATTCATTGTTATTTGTCTGATTTTTTTAAAAAAATCTGGTGTATTCCTCTGGTTTGGAAAGCTTGTACATATATACATCTGTATAATTATCTTGCACATACTTATACATGAGATTACATGCTCATATTCATTTTTAGATGCATGAAACATCTTGGGTTGGTCAGGTGAGCGAGTGGAGTTTCCCAGGACACATGAATAAAATTATATCTTCTGTGTTAATCCAAACACTGGCTTATATTTATATATTACCCAATCACTGCACTGTACCCTTCCCCCAACAAACCAAAAGAAAGAAAAATGGGACTGAGCTGTTTCAGTCTTGAATGGGAAAGATTACAGACTTCAGAATTATGCTGCAGCATTTACACATCTATTTTCCAACGCTTCATTCTATACCACTATGTCTGAAGAACCATAATAGCATCACACAGATAGGAACAGTTTTGAATTGGGAAGGCAGGGAGCAATTCATGTAATCAATGAATGGTGACCACTTACTTATAGGGAGATGTGTTGTGATGGAGATACACTGTTTGCACTCTCCTCATGGACATGATGCTAGCTTGAGATTTTGCTGCAAATTGGGAATGGAGAACATGGAGCCTTACAGATATTATTCTCTCTGGCATCTATTGTCAATGGTCATATTGGCTGGGGGATGCTGGTAATTCAGCCGCATCCCCATACCTCTGTAAGGAAAATAATGTATTTTTTTAAAGAAATCAGTTTCCTTGCCATGTAGCAGGCATTTGACATTTTGTTATCACCATCACTTGGGAAAAATTATGAATAGGGATCTTTTACTTTTTCTCTGCAGAGACTGGATAGCGGCATTCTTCTGATCAGCAATTGGTTGATGTATCTCTTTTTTTTTCTCCCTTGGGCAGGCAAGGAACTCTGCTCATGAATTAGTTAAAAACCTCAACATGCAAGTGGTCAAGGAAGCAGAACAACACGAAGGAGAAGGAGACCAGGAAGTGGGCTCAGGAGATACTGAGCAAGAGAATAAAAAGTCAGTGGAGGTAATAATTGTAATCAAAAGAACGCTGCAGTTTAAACGGATGCATCCATTGAAGAGCTATCACCATATCCCTTTATCCTCAAGTTATGATCTCTGCATGAAGTCTTGGGGTGTGTGTGTGTGGAATTGGATGTGAAACTAATGTCACGGCTTCTTCTTTTAAAGAAAATAGAATAATATCCATTTTTAACTTTGCAGGATATTCACATGGTTGCAATCACAAGCCTGGCTGAGTTGACGGCTTATTCCATTGAAATGTTCCACAAAACTGCAGCATTGGTTCTTCATGGGCAAAAAGAAGATGTGTTGGCTATAATCCGAGCTAAAGCCCTTTCCCAGTAAGATTAATCATGCCTGTCTTCTCTATTTCTTTCCCTTCTTCTAAAAAAACATAAGAAGATTAACAAATACCTGGTTCCTGCTCACCAGTCTTTGTTTAGGGCAGTGGAATAAAAGCCCAAAGATTCTCCTATGCAATTCCTTACTTCTGTATGTCCATATCTGGTATAACACAATGCCATGGAAAGTCTTAGGTTTACAAGCATTCCAGTACTTCCTCTAGGAATTGTTCTTACTACCATGTTTATAGGCCGCATTCTGCTGCTTATGGCTCCAAGAGGTTAAGGAGTTCTTTCAAGGCACATTTTGAATGTTTTCCTTCAGTTGAACCTTCTTATTTCTAATCATGGTCTGAATCTAAAATTTTGATACAGCAATCAGTCTCCATGTCATACTATCTATCACTGGAAATTAAGAAATGAGTATACCCTCCCCTCATTTATTGATAAATGTTCCATTCCAAAAGTCATTAAGTGAAATGGTTGCTAAATGAACACAAGAGAGAGACACCGAGGGACAGAGAGGGACACTGCTAAGTTCACTGGCTACTATCTGATTCAGATAAACCAAGGGACACCCCCTCCCCCAAAGAGCACTAAATATTGCAGCAATGTTGCACCATCCTTTTTTCAACATCTCTTCCAGGAAGTGTATCAATTTAATGACCCTGCTGAAAGAATTGGCTGTGCTAAACCTGTCCTCACTGCCTTTTTTCCTTATTTTTTTCCATACAGAGCTAAAATAAATATTTGCAAGTTAATTGGAATCTGTGTTTTCATATCCCTTCAAACCACCAAGAACCTGTTTTAGAAAGGCTAGATTTTCTATTCATGTGTTTTTCAAATCAGCTCATTATTGCAAAATCAGAGGTTCCCAGGCATACTAGTTGCAAATTATGTGGGATATTTAGAGACTCACTGACTAAAAGCTTGTAGATCATCCTTAATCCTATACATTGGAAAAAAAAATAAAAAAGATATATATTTTATTTATGATGTATTGTTCTTTTTGTTTTTTTAGAATGACCATTTTGCTGTGCAAACAATTGTCATCTCTCTCTAAAGAATTTGCCACATGCTTAACAACTGCAGGGGTAAGATGCTGTATGATGTCTAGTGGTAAAAAGCTTTTCATGAGAAAATAGAAAGATTCAGCCTACAGGACACATATTTATACTGATTCCACCACAAAACCGCGGACGACAAAATCGCGCTCGACGAAAGCGCGTACGTGACGTCATCACAGCGCAACGAAAACATCGCGCTGTGATCGATAAATGTAAAAATAAAGCGAAAACCTTACCCTAACCCCCCCAAACCTAACCCTAAACCTAACCCTAAACCTAACCCTTAACCTAACCCTAAATCTAACCCTAAACCTAACCCTTAACCTAACGCTAAACCTAACGCTAAACCTTAACCTAACGCTAAATGTAACCCTAACGCTCTAAACCTAACCCTAACCCTTAACCTAACCCTAAACCTAACCCTTACCTTTATGTGAATCGGCTTGCTTTAATTTTATTTTTATTTCAATTTTTAATTTTTTTCATCGCGCTGTGATGACGTCAAATGCGCGCTTTCGTCGAGCGCGCTTTTGTGGACCGCGGTTTTGACGGGTCACGATTTATACTATTTCAAAGAAGGGTATCCTGCTATTTCCTGTAACTGCTATGATCAGCAAAGTATTTTACTTTATTTTATTAATAAGACGTTAGAGTTTACCATTTTTAAAAGTTTTTTTTCCAGATAAATCAGAAATGGTTACAAGGGTTGGACTTTTTCATAGATTTCTTCATGTCAGTTGTTTCCTCTATTTTGCTTTAGATCAGGGGTGTCAAATTCAATTTCATTGAGGGCCACATCAGGATTGTGTTCGACCTTGGAGGGCTGGGGGAGGGGCTGGGGCATGGTCATGGTGGGCGTGGTCATGGGGAGGGGGTGATACGGGACTTGTGTCTAAGGTGGCTCCTGTGGTGGCCAAGTGCTAAGGCAGGACTTCCTTGAGACCCTCCCTAGCTCATTATAACCAACCTATCTTCCTTCCCTTCTTTTTCCTTCCCTCTTCATTCTAATTTCTTCTTCCCTCCCCTCTCCCCTTATTTTTCCTTTCTTGCTCTCTTCCCATCTTTTTTCTTTGTCTTTCTTCTTTCCCTTTCCCCTTTCGTTTCCTTTGCATGCTCAAATGCAAAAGGGGAGACATTTCTCCTTTTGTTTTGTTTTCAGTTTTGATAGCCCGCTGGCAGCCAAAATGGGGCAAAATGTGCCCCCCCCATGCCCCGTTTTTTGCCTGGCTGGCCTCCTACAGCATTCTGGTAGCCAAAACAGGGTGCACAGGGCGGGGCTCATGCGGCCTCCGTGTACCCTGTTTTTGCTAGCAGATGCATTGTGGGCTGGTCCTTTGCTATTTCCAGTCCATGGGCCAGATCTCAGCATCCCGCGGGCCAGATCCAGCCTGCAGGCCTTGAGTTTTACACTCCTGCTTTAGATGCTCACGTTACTAGTATGAGAGGATCCATGGCACCTTGGATCTGAATATTACATAAATTCATTTCTGTAGCATGGGGAATAAATTATTTAACTGATCAAAAATCAAAAGTTTTGATTTAATTTTAGATATACGCAGCCTGTATTCTCTTCAAGATTATTTTGGCTTGGTTTTCAAATGCAACTTAATATGTCCAATGTTTTCAGGTGGAGAAGAAGGCTGATGTGCTCAACCCTTTAATCACGGGAGTGTTTTTGGAGGTCAGTTGCATATGTAAATGCTTGTGAGGGATGGATTCTGAGGAAAACATTTTGACCCCTGGCCTGATATCTGGCTTGATATAGCTGTGAAACTGGTACAGGTAGTCCTTGACGTATGACCACAATTGAAACCAAAATATCTGTTGCTAAGCAAGATAGTTGTTAAGTAAGTCGTGCGACATTTTACATTCTTTTTTTGCTACAGTTGTTAAGAAAATCTCCCATTAACTTTGCTTGTTGGAAGCCAGCTTTTAAGATTATAAATACTGATCATATGACTCTGGGACAGAGCAGTTGTCAATAATACATGCCAGCCAAGCTAAGCACCCAAATTTTGATCATGTGACCACGGGGGTACTGCAATGATTTTAAGTGTGAAAACTGGTCATAAACGTTTTTTGGTGCCATTGTAACTTCATATGGTCACTAAATAAAAGGTTGTTAATTGAGGACTACCTGTATTTGGTTCATAGTACCTGTTTCTGAACTTTTATAGTGTAGAGAGAAGGAGAGTACATAAAATGACAAATGTTTTGGGATTTTTTTTGCTCAGGACCAAACAATCCTATCCAATTTGGGATGAACAAATTGAAAGAAAACATTTGAAACATATAACACAGTTTAGGTTCGAATGATCCACTTTAGAACTCTCTTCTGTGATCAAAACAGTTTTGCAGTTTAAAACAGTCACATTTTATTCTGAACTCAAGACAGTCAAATGTCTTGGAACACGTGATCTGGACTTTTTGCTCAAACATTCAAAATGGCAGTTCAGAGTTGAAATGCTTTGCATATTCGTGTTAAAATATGCTGGTGTCACATGATTTATTGCCCTAGATACTAAGGATTATGAGCAATATAGAGATTTTATGCAAAGGGCTTTGGTTAGGGCTTCAAAACACTTCCTTCTCTTCATAGCATAACCATATGCAGACTAAATATGTAACAATTAAGATTAATATTCCATTCTCCAATCTACATCCAACTGCCCAAATTATATAATTAATTCCCATAGATTAGAACAAAACTGAAATAACGTAAAAATGGTTTTAGGAAACAGATGGATGGCTTTAAGTGAATACAAAACAACTTGTTTATGTCATATGCCCAGATTCCAATCAAATTACTTATATTTGATATACCTATTCATCACTATTTATTTTACTTAAAGCAATTAAAGAGCCGAGGTGGCGCAGTGGTTAAATGCAGCACTGCAGGCTACTTCAGCTGACTGCAGTTCTGCAGTTCAGCTGTTCAAATCTCACCGGCTCAAGGTTGACTCAGCCTTCCATCCTTCCGAGGTGGATAAAATGAGCACCCAGACTGTTGGGGGCAATATGCTGACTCTGTAAACCGCTTAGAGAAGGCTGAAAGCCCTATGAAGCGGTATATAAGTCTAACTGCTATTGCTATTGCTAATTAATTAGAGACAGATGCCAACCAAAGTCTGATCTTTAGAATGTATGAATATTCTTTATTCACATGACATGCCTTTTCATTCTCTTTTATAGGCTTCCAACAGTGCCTCTTATATCCAAGATGCCTTCCAACTACTTTTGCCAGTGCTGCAGATCTCGCACATCCAGTCTCAGAAAGAGTTATCTCAGCAATAAATCAAAGTCTGACTAAACTGGAACATCACTTCCAATGGACCTGAATGGAAGTTCCCTTGTTCCATAAGAAGATGAAAGCGTTTTAATATAAATTAAGACATATATGTTGACTTGTAGTTTTCCACCGACCAGAATAAGGCCATTATGTAGCCACCTACCTACATAGACAAGATGGCAGCAAAGGCAGCATAGGAAGTTTGTAATGCAATTTGTCTTCATTGTTTTGCTGGATAAAGTTCTATCTGCTTCTGCTCTTTAGTCTTCTGCATTATGCTCCTTGAGATAAGAGCGTTATTAAGGAAAGTGCAAGGGGCGCATAGCATAACAATGTTCATGGCATGAGACCTTAGATTATTGGAGTCAGTAGCTGCTGCAATTGCATTATACTCACATTGAAATGCTATTTTAAGTAAAATGCCTAGCACTCCAAAGAGATGCTGAGAAAATAAGATTTGTTTCAGGACATGTGAGTGATATTTCAATTGTCTACTCTAAGATCTGGAGATCCCAAAGGGGGGGGGGGGAACCTTTAAAAGAACAGCTAAGGTTGTAGCTGTAAGGGTTATTTGAAAGGAGAAAAAGGGCCACTTATATATTTTGACTTGCTCCCCAGTAAGCTTTATGCTTCCCGTGTGAAAAGGTTTTAGACAAATTAATGGTCTGACCTTTTATTGATGGACGTTCTCTACTAGTGCTAATTTGAGATAGATTTGGGTTGTTTTTTTAGAGAAACACTTTTTATGTAATAGCATCTGACGTTTAAATAAACACATTTTGCTAGACCTCACTTAGTCAATAGATTTTCAGTGTCCTACTTCCTTAGCAGTAAATAAAAGGAGCCAGAAGGAGTTGACTTGATTGAAAGAAAAGTAAGGCTTTTGATAAATGCCTTGAAGTAAGATGGGCGGTTTATAAATTTTATAAATAAATAAATAAAATGAAGCTATCAAGGGGAGCTTACAACTTGGATGCAGCATCTCATGACTCATTAGCCCCACTCATGACTCTGGATATTTCTATGAAAATAATTTTTCAGGTTCTGGAACTTTGCCTGAATTCCCAAATTGTGATTTAATTCTTCGTATCATAACTCCAAAGACTTCAGAATACAAATTCCTCTTGTCTTTTTTGTCCAATTGTTACCTTGTACAATTTTGTCTTGTTCCATAATGTATATGTTTGTTTACTTGTTCCTTCCTAGAATCTGCTCAGGGAAATTCTACTAAGTTTTATGTTTTGAACAAGCAGCTTTCTATGATTACAATAACTCAAATATCACTTCAGCAAAGAAAAAAGAGTTGAACTGCAACTCGTTTTACTTTAGTGAATGTCCTTGCTTTTAACTTTATTAGCATTTCTTTGTTTTAACTGTGATTCTAAATTTCCATCTGGTTGCTTGATGGCCTTAGAGTTACTAAATTACTTTATTACCATATTATAGCATTAGCAAGGAATGTTGGAACAATGCATTATATACATATACATACGTCTGTGTGTGTGTATTTAAAAATGTTTAAACACATATATGTGTATGTACATACATACATACACACATTCAGTAAAAAATACCCCTTAACTTTACAAATAAATTAGGCTTTTAGATAGTTTAATTTCTAGCAAAGAATCTATTTTATCTATTCTAAATATGTATGTGTATATTGTATACAGAGAATAAATGTCTTATGATGCAATAAGGAAATGGCTGCTTATTAAGTAAGTTGACCATTGAATACCTACAGTTACTAATGTTCAGGTCAACAAAACAATATTTTGCCATGTGCTGCTTTCCTACATTTTCTTGCTTATTCATGTATGGAAGAAATCTGCATTGTTTAAATAAAGTGATAGCATACGTGGTGAATATACAGTATATTGGGAAGAATACATGCATTTTATTTGTCTACTTATGTAAAGTTTAAGCTTAAATTTAACATGCAGATTCCACAATATTGTTTTACTCTAATAGAAGACAATAGCTATCTGTTCAAATGGAACAATTGTGTATTTTCTCCAATAGTTGCCCAGCCCTTGTTTCAAATGAGTCATAGACTTTGTGAAATACTTTGTATTTGATTATAGAAGTCGTGTTATAGACTATAGAGAAATGGCACTTCCAATTAATAAAAATGGCCTGAAGGTAACATTAGAAATGTAGTGGATTTGTAGGACAGTATGTTGAACAAACAAACCAAGACCATGACTTGAAGTCTTCAAATAAAGTGGCTACAGGTTTGGGTTTTAAGAATATTATGATTAAACTTAAATTCAAAAGAAAAGAAAGCCGGAACAACTTGTTATGCATCCTTCTGCCCTTTTTTTGTTTTGGAATAAAGTTCCAAATGTACTCCCAATAAGCAAATTTACTTGGAAATATAAATGTTTAAATGCTAAGTACAATTAACTAAATTTAAGTGGATTATGTCTTCAATACCTATGCCTAGCTTAATCTCTTTTGCCATTCTAATTCCCCTTACTGTTTTTGTCTTGCACTATTTTTCCATAGTATAAGGCTTTGGAGCATGCTGGATGGGGAATTCTGGGAGTTGAAGTCCGCATCTCTTAGAGTTTCCAAGATTGGAAGACATTGCTTTAAAACCCATTGATCATCGTCCATTGTGTTATTTCAGAAAGGGATGGGATTAGTTACAGTTAAATTCTCACTTGGTTTTGTGCTTCTGCAAATAACATTGACATATTTGCATTATACAGAATAAAAAAACAACTCTGTATCTAAGGAAATAGTTTGCAAGCCAAATTCTCAGTTTCAAGCCAATTGTTAAAGATCTGGTGGTTTCAACAGAAGTAAGGGTTGAACTGAATGAACTTTTAAGTCTTTTTTTAAACATTTGTATACATTTTTAATGAGGAAAGAGAAAGCCCATCACTTCTTGTTCAAATAACTGCTCAAAAACAATATAATTAAACGGGTTTTATGAAGTAGACTTGGGTAAGCATAACAAAATGTAGCAGAAGAAGCCAATTGCACAAATTATTATAGGAATAATTGCAAGACCAAAAGAGGTACAAGTTGCTCACTTCAAACATATGCTAACAGCATAATCACCGGTCTCCATCTTGGCTTCTGGCAACATGTTTGGGGTTGAAAATGGACAGCAATCCTTTCAAATCTGGTCTTTGGCATGTCAGATATGTCAATTTTAATACTAAAAATGAAAACCATGATTATTCTTTAAAAAAAATAGAAATCAGCTCTGGGAAGTATCCCAAAGGTGCTTTTTAACAGGCAAGTGTCTCAAAAATGCTTTTCAATAGGCAACTGGAATTTCTTGGGGGTTTCTTTCCCTTGAAAATGTTTTACTGCTCATCCAAGAAGTTTCTTCAGTTCTAAAGTGAAGCGAAAAAGTGAAACTTTTTAAAGGAAAAAAAACCAAGAAAGTCCAGTTCCCTTTTGAAAAACACCTTTGGAACAACCATAACCTGAATAATTAAGAATCTTCATAGATGCTCTAGGAAATTAATTGCTAAATTATCATAAAACAATGTAACTCTAATATTGGGCTTTTCCTATTTATACTTTTATTTTTACCTTGATCATTCTACATAAGTATAAACTGGTTCTCAATTATTGTATTATTCTTTATAGTATGAGGTATATTTCAAGCACTTCTGATAATAATCAAATAACTTAATTTGAAATACTAATGTGATTAATCAAATAGTTATATAAGAAATTGATTATTATTTACTCCAGAAGACCTACTCTGAACTCAATGTGATATCTAAAGAATATATACATGTGCAAAGTTACATATCTTCAAGACACTTCTACAATACTGACTCAACTCATTCTTATCTCTGGAAGAATCTTAATTACAAAATTAGTTGCTTTCAAGATATGTGTGTAGAAATGTTTTACTTGCTAAGTCTTGCTAACATTTTGAATGATTGCTGAAATAGACATATCATCACTTGATCAATCAAGTAACCTCTGTTGTTTTCTTTTCTGGTCAAATCTCTTGCAAAAAAAGAAGGTAAAAGTAGAATGGTGAGTGAGACATTTGGCAAAATACTACTAGTTCCCAAATCAATCTATATTCAGATTTGAGTGAAAACTATTTTGGTCATATTGCAAAAACTAAATAAGGTGTGACTTTAGGTGTCATGAAGGAACGTGACAATCATAACAGGCTATGATTATGAATGATATTATATATTACTCCCAAAGAGGAATTTGCTGGATTCCACCACCACCCTTAGATCAGCTATGTCAAACTTGATTTCATTGAGGGCCGCATCAGGATTGTGTTTGATCTTGGGGAGAGACAAGGTGGGCATGGTGGATGTGGCCAGCTCGAAGTAACACGTCGGAGGTGCCTGTAGAGGCCTGAGGGCTCTGCCAGTGAAAATGAGCTCCCGAGCTCCATTTTCAGCTGCAACGGTGTCCTGCAACCCTCTGCCAGCAAAAACTGACCTCGGGAAGGGGAGTCCTTCATTGTTTCCAGTACTCTGCAGGCTGCATCCAGCCCCCAGGCCTTGAGTTTGACACCCCTGCCTTAGATGGTAAAATAATTTAGGCAATTTTTAGTATAATTGCACTTCATAAGTTCTCGATCAACATATTGTACTGCACCGTAAATTCTACACTGAACTCAATAAGATTATAGGATTTAATAGCCATTATATTCTCAATGAGATTATAGGATTTAATAGCCATTTGTGAAATAAGTTGGTCAAATAAAGACAACCTGTTAAGACAATCTGTCAAAACTGGCTGGAATAATCAGGATTTAAGAATGAAGTTAGTCTGAGCAACTGTATACATACTGCCATTCATTTTATGTGGGTCATATAAGCCTGGTGCGGGCTGGAACCAGTTTTTCTTCTTTCCCAGATGATAAAAGGGGAGGAATCTCCGTGGCAGGAGCTACATTTCTGCTAGTCAAGTCTGCATTGAAAGGCTTGCTTTTCTTTCCACTTCCCCAGGTGAGAGGGCTTTCTTGTATACTGTACTTTTCTGTCTTTTCAGTGGATTATTTTTTTTTCTACCCCAGCTGGCATTATAGATAGAAAGCACTTTAGAAGACTGTCTTGATTGGGTTTCTGCATGAATCAGAGTGAAGATATTTTGCTTTGACATTTAATCTCTTCAGTTTTCAGGAAAGCAAGCAATTATTTCAGTAATGCTTAAAACTCAGGAAGAGCAAGTCCATAGGAGAAATCAGCGTTAGGGCTTGTCAAATTTTATTTGTTGCATGAATAGTGGCTGTGAAAACTCAGGCAGTTTATAAATCTGTAGAAGCGGTATGAGTGCTTATTTGCTCCGTAATTAAGGAAGATGAATGAGAAACCAAACTCTTTCCATTAAGGTCTCATAATTAGAGAATCATATTTATCATTTTTGAATTTTCTGCATAAAGAACCTAAGCACAGAGAACCTTTACAAATTCTCCGTATTGTTTGTTATGGGGCTGAAGATGGGTGAGGCAAAATGGAAACTGGTAAAACCAGATTCTTAAACAGGGGTTTAGAAATCTGAATTATCTATTTATCTGATCTTCTAAAGCAAGACTTGAGTTCTTTTTTAAGCTACTGTGTATTTACTTCATGTCAGGATTTTTTGCAACTTCTTTATAGACAACAAGTAAATCCATAACCATTTTTACTTCTTTTATCCTAGGTATCTTCAGGTCCTGCTTAGATTCAACTTAATTTATACTGATCTGACCTAAGAAACTTAGTGTGGAGCCTTGACAAATTAATTATATATTTTTTAATAACTGTACTCTTACTGAACAATGTCTTCAATCTTAAAAGGTAGGTTTCTTTTTTCATTTGGAAAAAGAAAAGAAAACAAATCACCATATGCTTGTGTTATATGAGATGTAAATAAATAATCCCTTTATTTCTTAGCACTGATACTGAATTTATTATGTTTCCAGTTGTCTTGCATTCTGCATATCTAGCTATGCATGAACTACTTATATGACATGCTGAAAATGGGCAGTTGTTAACGTGAATGTTTCTAAAGAATAAAAATGGTATCATTATTCAGGGGAGTTTTCTGATTTGAATTCTTCAGTTCCTTCCTGTCTCATTTTAGTGATTTCTGTATCACATAATCTTGGGAGTCCCACATAGTTTTGACTTAAAAGTCATCTTCAGTTTTCTTGTCTTTTTTAGAAGAAATTAAGAAATATTCTAAGGGATGTCCCTGTGCACTTTGTCAGGAAAAAAGATGTTGGAGATCAAATTTTGCAGTAACATTTAATACTTGATTAAGTATTGACAATACAAATGTAATTATATTTAAGAAATCATCAGTTAGAATATTACATAAGAGAAAAGAATACTGTAATTGGAGCAAATACTTTTTTTTTCTTCATTTTAGTTTTGTGTTCCATTTTGTTGTATCCACTGGTGGGTTTCAACATTTTTACTACCAGTTTTGTGGGCGTGGCTTTGTGGGCGTGGCAGGGGAAGGATACTGCAAAATGCCCATTCCCTCCTCACCCCACTAACCTGCCTCAGCTCCGTTCTCTTGTACAGGGCAACAAAAGAAGATCAGCTGGGAGGCAGCAGCGGGGGTGGGGCCATCTTATTTGCCGGCTCTCCGAACTACTCAAAATTTCCGCTACTGGTTCTCCAGAATCTGTCAGAACTGGCTGAATACCACTTCTGAGTATCTCTGTTTTTCTACTGATAAACTGGTTTCAACATTCCTCCCAAATCATTAGTGAAAGACACTACTTTCTGTAGAAATTCAGTGTCTTCATCAGAATGCTGTAATTTCTTTGTAAATAAAAAACAAAGTTAATCATTACACTGAACTTCAGCAATTAACAGATAAAAGAGTAATAGCAGTAAAGGTTAAACAACAGTTACCTTAGTTTTGATTCACTGATTTTATTGTCCAGTGATTTATAGCCTTCCTATATTTTTCCATCATTTCATCCATTTTTTTTTCTTTCCCAAGGAAGGATTGTGGAAATTTCGAGGCTAAAATAAAGATGTCTTTTATGTGTCCAGAAAATCCCATAAATATACAAAGGAATACTTTGCTGCACCTTTTTTGAGGCTCTGTTTCTTTATTTTTTAAATTTAATTTTTGTTACTATAATATTCTCAGAATGCACAGACATATAAGCATTGGAATTGTTTCTTAGAGAAAGCAAGGTTCTTAGAGAAAGTGAGGTGTAACCTATTCTATATGAAATAAGCTTATCCTCAGTATAAAAAGTAATGAGATTAATAAACCCAACCCACCAATCAACCAACAAAAAGTGTTAGAGATGAAGATATAGTTACATTTGACCTTATGGAGCCACTAGTAATTTACTTCTTACAACAGATTAACTTCTGTTGCACTAGCTTCTTTTTGCTTTTAATCTAGATCCTTGTAGAAAAACAAAACAAAGAATGAATTTCTTCCTGTTAATGCTTTAGTTTTTATATTATTTATTAATTTAGCTTATATGCCACTCCATTAATTCTAAGTGTCTCACCAGTTTAATATAATAGGATTAAAAACCTTAACCAATTAATAGAACAATAACCAGGGACGTGCAGAGCCTCACCACTGTCATCATGAAAAGAAAAAAAAATGTAAAAGGAAAAAGGAAAGAGCTGAGGTCAGGCTGAGCTAGTTGCTGCCAGAGTCACCGTGGATAACTCTACTTAGTGCTTAACTGTTAAAAAAAAGCCTCTAAAAAGTGTCCTCTACAGGAGAAGGCAGAAGAATGACATGCCTCTTCTAGTCTGACTATGCGTTTTGTGATCACTCGAGCAGAATTAAGCTAGGGTTAAAA